CAACAAAACACTTTTGTGTTTGTGGGTGTGTGTGTGCATTTAACTCATGAGTATTTTTTTAATTTTAAAATAGCTTGCAAAAGTTTTTCTTAGGTTGGCATGATTATTTTAAAAATAATACCTGAACCCTGATGGAAGTAAATTAAAAAAGTATGTCTTACAGTACATATATATGTGTGTGTGTGTGTTTTTTTTTTGTGTGTGTGTGTGTGTGTGTGTATGTGTGTGTGTGTCTGTTTTGTGTGTGTGTTAGTGTGTGTTTGTGTTTGTGTATGTGTGTGTGTTTTGTGTGTGCGTTTGTGTGTGTGTGTTTGTGTGTTTGTGTGTGTGTGTTTGTGTGTGTGTGTTTGTGTGTGCGTGTGTTTGTGTGTGTGTTTGTGTGTGTGTTTGTGTGCGTGTGTATGTGTCGAGAGAGAGAAAAAAGAGAGAAAGGCAAACATATATATATATATATATATATATATAGATAGATAGATAGATAGATAGATAGATAGATAGAGAGAGAGAGAGAGAGAGAGAGAGAGGTGTTTATGTAATATATATATATATATATATATATATATATATATATATATATATATATATATAGAGAGAAACACACACATGCCTACACTTTTGGCACGGCAACACATCTGGGAAAATGAAGACCGAATCTTTATCATTTACTACCATGTAATCGGTCAGCGTTTCAGACTAAGTCCCATTACTCCCGACACGTTATAAATTAGTCGAGTGCAGTAATATTGCATTGTATGTGTGTATCTGTATATAAGGAAAGTTATAGATAATGAATTCTGAGAATAATAAAAGTTGCTAATTATATCAATATTCGTAAAATCCATTTTGCAATCACTTTTAATCGTGGTCAATGTTTTTGAGCATGTACTTAGATGTATATATATATATATATATATATATATATATATATATATATATATATATATATATTTATACGTAAATATATATATATATATATATATTATGCATAAATATATATATATATATATATATATATATATATATATATATATTTATACGTCTATATCTAAGTACATGCTCAAAAACATTGACCACGATTAAATCTATATATCTTTCATTAAAGACAACAGAAAAGTTACTGCGATTAAGCTTTTTATTTAATTTTTCTTGTATTCGAACAAGTATTTTCTTTTTTGAACTCAGAGTGTGTAGAAACTGTGCAAATGTTCTATAATTCCGAGCACTTTCAGCTATCCTTTTAGCCATTATCAAGGGTTATTTTATTTTTGCGTTTTAATTGGGTGTTTGGGTTGTGTGTATGCTTCTCGATTTATAGGAAGGTTTTATTTTCCGAACACCGTTAGCACATTGTGTCCGTGTTCGTAGTCAATATTGTTGACTTTTGGCTTTGTTTTTTATTATTAAGGCTTCCAATATTTTCAATCTTTTTTCTTTAAATGTGAGTGAGGTTATGATGCTTCTCGTAGGTTTTGGATGGAATCTGGTAAGTCTGTGCATGTGCATGTGTTTTAATGAATAGTTTCTACACATTCTGTGTCCAGAAAAGAAAAACAGAAAAATTCGAATACAAGAAAAATTAAATAAAAAGGCTAATCACAGTACCTTTTTATTCATCTTTAATGAAACATGTATAAATGAGGGATTGCTGCCTAAATACACAATATATATATATATATATATCTGTGTGTGTGAGTGTGTGCCCTACATATAATTATCTTGTTTTGCGGAATTAATCGAAACACGCTATACACTGACTTTTTTTTTTAAATAAGACTCGAACATGTTGATTACATTGCTATGCAGTTGTCGCTCACGAATATTTGAAAATTAAGGAAGTTTTAGTTGTTTTTTTTCCAACCTCATTTATGAGTCAAATTGAATGAAAACTAATCTTTAGTTTTCGTATAAACTGAAAAGAATCTGGACAAAATATGTAAAAAAAAACAAAAAAAAAAACAGTCTCATTGTTATTTTCATTAAAAAAAAAAAGCAAAAGCTAATTAGTGTATTGACATTAATGCAATGTTTCTCGGTCGTTTAAATAAGTTATTTAATATACACATACCTATGTTTTCGTTTTTAATTAGCATGACATATTTTCACGTTCTGAGGTGTGGTGGGAATTGGTAGGAAAACTGAAAGTAAAATTGGAGACTGGAAAAGAACTAGTGTACTCAAAATTAGTCTAAATAACAAGCTGTCTAATTACTAGCAGTTTAGTAGAATAAAACCTATGAAGTAGATATTCGGCATTGTCTACGCATTATAGTTATAAAAATTGTATTTGTTAGCATTCTTGTAGTAGTTGTCTAATTTAGATTATCTCCACCAGGCAAGAACTAACTTATTGTCTATATTCAGTATGCGGGTGTATTTATTGTAGAATCGATGATTTCATTCGAGGTTACATTTCAGTATGAAATGCAATGACAAAGATTTTCGTATCGAATAATGTTAGAGAATTATGCGATCAAGGACCCAGTTCTTTGTTAATAAAGAATATGTGTTGTATCCCAATATAGAACATTGTCTTATCATCCACAATCGAATGGAATAAGAGAATGGTGAAAACTTTAATAACAAGACTTAAATCATCCTCTCATATCAGCGGTAAGTTTGAGAACTGTACAACTTGTCTACTAATGTATCGTACTCTTCCACATGGCAGTGAATTAGAAACCCTCTTGGCTTTAATGAGTGGACAACTTTGAACGCTTTGGCGATATCTTTCACCTTGGTAAAAAGCCATGCTATATAAGATACTGTTATACCGGAACATACCTATTCTATTGTAAATAGACTCTCCCACAGATAAGTAGTAGTAGTAGCAGTCGCCAGGGGGGGGGCTCAGAGTGAGTTGGTGAGTCAGTCGATGTCGGACCTTAAAGTATCATCACCACAACTAGATTGCTGCGTCATTAACTATTATTTCAAGTTCCTAACGTTTTGTACGTCGAACCTAATTTAGGACCGACTTAGTGAAATACAAGCCTCCACTGTGAAAACTAAGGGTGAATGGAGTCTCTCTGAGCCTTGGTTGGCAATCCATTTAGTGATGGTGTCACGATAAAAACACCCTTGATAGCCGTAGCGAAGCATCAAGAATTCAGCTATTTGACAAGATTATGAACTACACCAATCAAAGTATTAGCTATGACAGATAAGGAATACTGGAAAGGTGTAGTGAGTTCAATCTCCGCTGAGGCCGCAAGATCATGATGATGTGAAAACTACTCTACAACAGATACAAAGAAGCAAATCTAGACAGACCCCGTTTACAACCCAGAAGTGTAGGAAAAATTTGCTAATAACGAGAAATGGAAGTGAGACAGCAGCACACTGACCAAATAAGAAAAGAATGGATTATAAAGAAGAGATTGCTGTCAGTCCGTTCAATCTTCCCGTCGTCAAACAAATGGAATTACCTCACTTGAGAACTTTCAACATTGGCAACAACTAAAATGTTGAAATTTTATTGAAATTATTACGAATCTTTTGGAGTAACCGCACTTTGGACGGCCCCCTTGGCATTTTTGCAACGATCCCTGTGACTGGCTGAAAAGGAACCAATCAGAGGGGCTGCTTCTTCCCGATCTGCGCGCCGCATTTTAATCCCTCCTCCTCTTTCCCACGTTTGCTTTCAACGAACAGCACATACAAAAATACTGCTCTCGAAAAACATTTACAAATAAAATTATAACTCGGCATTGTAGCGCCTAGTCCACGTGAAGAAATATCTTCTCTGTCCTCATGAATTCCGGACGCCGAGACATTTCTGTGTCACCACCACAACAAGCAATCACAAGATCTCAAAGAACTATTAACATGACGTATCTTTTCTGTGACAAGATTAATCCGCAAAATACCTGTTTTTTTTTTTGCAACAGTATTATTGTAAACCTTCTTCTTTTCTCATTTCGTCTCATTTTTCTCTAATGCTCATAAAAGGTTTTTAATCTCAAAGGTTTTGTTTCGTTCTTTTTTCTCACGTCGTATCACGTCACTGAATTATCCTTTTTTTTCTACAGCGGCGATTACTTATCTTTTCGAACAGACTTAAACGGTGAAGTACCAACAATTCCACACTACTTCAGAAAAAAGGTAACAAAGAATCGCCCATCAATACTGGAAAGAGCTATGACAGTTATAGACTTGATGAAGCTATTTTATTGAAAGATTGTTTTAATAGAAATATTTTGTAAATTCCAAGCAAAAGTAGCACTGGCTGCTCGGTCAATGAATAAGTTTTTTTTTTACTTATAATTAATCTGGCAATATTATCACTACCATTACCGTTCAATCAAGAACTTGTCTTTAATACTCCTAATAATCAATGATTTATACTGAAAGATATTATGAACCATAGCCTTCCTGTGGAAATTCTGTTGTGCAAAATGATCTCCTGTTGTGTAAAATGAAAGCGTGGACATAGATGGCCAACAACATCCGCATGAGTCTAAATTGGCCAGCGATGACATTGACCAGCATGAGAGATACTGTAAAAGAAAACGATCACGGACTGGCGAAATGGAAAGAGAAGATAAATAAATATATGAAAGAGACAAAGAGAGCAGCCATAAAAGACAAGTTGTGAATCAAACCCCATATATTTTCGTGAGCTGGTAATGTTAATCTAATTAAAATATACGAAGAATAGGGACTACAGATAAAAAGACAAACTCAAACATCTGATCCGTATTCACTTTATACGCCTAACTATTTGATTGATTTAGTTTATACGGCTTATCAAGCCTTTGCAGGTTATTTAAACCCAGAAAATATTTTTGAACTGTAAGAAATTTATTTGAAGATAGTAATAGTTTAGTTATAGGAGTCTAACTAATTAACCCATAGCTGGGGGAGAAGAGGTGGGTTCATACCTTTCTCAAGAGTATTTGCGTGTTAGTGACTATAATGAGTCCAACTGGAGTTGTAACTAGGATCTTCCATTAGCAATTCTGAGACATTGTCTCTTGTACCACCCGCTCATCTGAGCTTATACCACCTGATATTCCCAGCCGGTCACCTATCTAGTTACTGACCAGGCTTGATGTTGCTTAACTTCATAGATCATACGGGAACCCGTGTTTCAACGTGACTGGACTTACTTGAATAGCGACCATTACGACAAACGATTTACATTATTTCTGATCGGAAGTATAAAAAACGACATTTCCTCGGCGGACCGAGATAAAAAATTAGACTAGGCAGATTTTTGACTAGTGCATGGTAATAAAAATAAATATTACACAGTCTCCTGGAGTGAGTGTCACAATGTTACCCAAGCAGTCAATAATGTTCCTCTTTAGTTCAGTGAGATGTTGTTTCCCTGGCATGGGAATACCTAGTGTCAAGCCTGTTTTATTTATGACGTATTTAGCTTGGAGACGAAACTTGAGTATATTTATTGCATTTATTTGATTCCATACCAGATACAATTACTAAAAATAGGGCCCAATACCTTTACCTATGCACAGGTAACAAAATACGCAGTTACATTTCAAATTGCCTCATGGCGAGCCAGTATTCTTCCATGTTAGTTTACGTGGGATGCATCATCTTTGAATGTCAAGTGCTGGAAAAAGATATATTGATTTAGAAAAAGAAGTTGTTTTAACTGAATTGCATAGGTAATGTATATAAATTTGTACTTAAATTTATTCAACTACGTCACTTTTTTCATGAATTAAATACGGGTTCTTCTTCCATCCTCCCAGAAATTGATTTTTTGGGGTCTAAAACCAATGTACGCGGGTATTACAGGCTTACAAAGAATTTCTTCTCGCGAAGAGAAATTCACAGGGATTTAAAACGTGTTCCAAATTACTACCTGGTCAGCAAAAAGTCTGACATTGTCCTGATGACAGACAATCTATATACTACCGACTGGCCAATTCCATACGCTTTTCATCGATTGCTTTACCGTAACGGTACTTGTCGTGTTTCAAAATTTGATTATGCTGTCGGTATTCGTAATGTACAATACCTTTCCAATACCAAAAAGATAAATATTACATTCGTCAGTTGCGTACTGGCTGTGGGAATTGCCAACAGTGGCTTCTTTGAACTTACTCACGATTATCTTCGATTTATATTGTGTAAACAATCCACTGTTCATCGCCCCTGATCGTTCCGTTCGAAAACGGGTCGCGTTTGAGCTGGGCATCGCAGATAGAAATACTGTCCTTTTAATTTTTTTCCTTTAAAATGTCAGGCACCCAAATATCGTCGGGATTAACGAATCTAATGTTTTCGAATTCCTTAAAATGTTTATATGCGATATGTGGAGTATGTCTGCGATATCCCGTGTTGCAAGATTTTTTTAATAAATATTTCGATTTTCTCATCATTAAATACGGGAGGTCTGCCAAAATGTTCTCGGATTTTACATTTCTGAAAGTAGCGAACTGATTACGAGCAGTAATCTCAGCTATGGCGTCATCTCCATATAATATTTGATGTTTGTACCAAATTTTACTTATTTTTCCGTAGATGACATCACATTTTCCTATAGTTTCACTTTTAACGTCAACGCATTTAAAATTGAAACGCTATCATAAAATAGACACATTCAAAATATGTCCTAAGTATCAGTGTTCGAATGTCACTTATTGAAAAGCTCTATAAACATATATTTGAACTTAGTATCGTAAGATGATAAAATCGAGGTTTTTTCTTTCAAGATAAAGTGTGAAAAAGTTCGTATATTTTACAGAACAATCGTCGAGAGGATAAGAAAATTCGTTTTCATGATAAATTGCATTTGATTTTTACAATTGTACGTTGATATTTTTAGCCTGAAAGTACTATTACACTTTTTACATAAAAAAATGTACAATGAAACGAAAACTTTGATGTAATGGGGTTGTGATTTAAAAAATAAAAATATTGACTAAAATAATATTTTTACTTTTTTTTACTCGAGTGTGTTTTGCTCTGAAAAATCTCTGTATATATATATATATATATATATATATATATATATATATATATATATATATATATATATATATATATATATGTATGTATGTATTTGTGTGGATGTGTGTGTTAATTCTTTCTCATTTTAATGTTAATGCGTGGGGAATTATCGATTAAATATTTCGTCAGCCGCTACAGGACTATCACTGTATTTATTACATTCGTTACTATCGTATTTCCATGGACGCCGCCATTGATATTGCATATGATGTTCGATTTAAATCAAAATTTATCAGCGGTAGGCATATGTATGAACATTTAGCAAAAATATGTCTCGGGTACATTACATTCGACTGTTTCACATATGGCATAAGTAATAAGAAAATTTATCATTATGTGAGGTCTTATCGATGAATAGTTAACCTTTCTACCCGCCTTGTGTGTTGAGGTCAAGAATACGCAGAAATTATCCTCGTGCAGAGGAGTAACTTCAGTAGAAAAGTGGCTATCTGTTTATTATACCTGTGTTTACCTATCTGTACACCGGACCTCTGCCTGCCTTGTAAGCCAAACTTATGTCTACCTTTATGAATCTCGGGTAATATTCAACTTTTATGACGCGTTCAAAAACTTGTATACCATTATTACTGTCATACAAAATGTCCGGCAAAATGGGCCCATGTCTACATTTTTTTAGACTTGCACAAAGCGGACCTGTGTCTATAGTTTTGACCTTTGGTCAAACGGAACTTATTTATCACCCTCGGTTGTTGATTAAAACAAGAGAATTTCGTATGGAATAACCTAGAGAAAGTTTATATGTTGTGAAACAAATAAACGCAAGCATCCATTGAACGCCAAGAATATTTATAGCATTTGAGAGTGACAAATAAGTGAAAAACAATTTGAGCTTCCATGTTTAGATGATTATTGTCCGCAATGAAAACAATCCTGAGGAAAAAAAAAAAAGGAAAAAATCACCTAGATTAGATCTTGTGTAAAATTCCGAGTGTGTACTTTCGGTTTAATTTCAAATCTCATATCTCTACAGAAAGTTGTTTTTTTTTTTAAACATGGAAATAATTAACCCAAAATTATTTGTGTCAAGTATAACTGTAATTAACTTACGAAAATTTGATGAGAACTTTTAAAAGATTCAGTCGAAATATGAGAGAAAAAAAGGGGTTATTTCAATGCTTGCACATAATTTTACTTCATAGAAATTGACATGAACTAGAATTAAGCAAAACTGATTAATGTGAATACGATTAAGTAAAAAAAAATATATTTTACTTGATAATCATGAGAGGAATGATTATTATATGATTAAAAGAAAACTACCTCAAATATTTTGGACTGCGGAAATTCCACGTGTATCGACATGTCCATTCTAAATACTCAAGGATGCATAGTTGATAGTAGGATATAAAATACTACCCGAAAAAATGTGGAGATAATAAAAGAAAGTAGAGAAAACTACTCAGTTCCATCTTTTGCGCGTTCAATTTCAAAGATTTTTCTGGATCATAAATACTTTTCTATTTTCACATTACAAAGAAGAGAACATATGATGTCATAATTACCTACAGTAAACCTCAGAGCCGGTCTATATAAAATATCATTCAATATTGTAAATAGATTTAGCACAATGCTGTATATAAACTAATAAAGAAAAACACAGAATGAAGTAGACGGTGTTGACTGTAGATAAAACATCAACACTATAGCCATGGCATCAGACTAGGATGGTGGTGTAGAGGACCGTATGTCGGAGTTAACATTATGTAGAGGTTTTGCACGTCGGCAATGTTGTTGAGTATAAGTAGATGAATACATGTGGGTTAAGATTTTCCTGCTAGCCGATCCAACTACATGAGAAAGTTGGACTTTAATAAAGTTCAAAGAAAGCAAAGAAAAACAAACACAAGATCGATAAATATATGTAAACAAATATATGTATTAATAACAACAAGAAAGGTACAAGTTACATGGACAGTTACATTGACAGAGTGTGTGTGGTGATTATTATGTGTGTATGTGTTTTGTGTTGTGATGAGTGTTCGTACGTATGTGTATTGTGCTTAGCGTGTTGCCAATGACGAAGAAGTTCGTAGAAGATATTGAACGGGAAAGATTTGTCGTCTCGATTAGCGGTGAATTGTAGTCGTCACATTTTTAAGCTTAAGTAAGCGGTCGAAAAATGGTCTGTTGCTGATTTGCTCAGGTCTGCATCTCCGTCGGCTTCTGCCTCTGCCTCTGTGTTCACACGTGCTTTGGGTTCCTTTTTAAGAGGTCATGATCACGTGGGGTGGCTCCGGAACGATTTTGCGCCAAAACTTCGAAATGCACGTGCGGGCGTCCTGATTGGTAGAAATGAACCAATCAGAGGGCTAGATTTACGAATGAAAGTTGGAATAGTGCATTACTCGAAAAAGGTAAGATTGGGCTAATGAACGAGCCCAATAATGGAATATGGGGAAGAGTTGATACACCAATTGAGCATATTACAACGTCGTATTTTCACACGCCTGTTTGTCACTTACTTGTCATTCCAAATATGAGGAAAGAAATATGTAGGTGTATAGTTTCTCGACATGTTCTTATTATCCCCAATTACACACACACACACACACACACACACGCACACACACACACACATATATATATATATATATATATATATATATATATATGATTCGCTTATAAATTAGTTGCATCAAATTAAGTAAGCGCCTAATTTAATTAGCCCGGATGGATAGTATGTACTTAAATGAAGAAACCACTTATTATCATGGAACTTTAAAATCTTTCTAATGTTATCTGCTCTGAACTTTTCTATTCTCTCAATTATAGTGAATATAGCATGGGTTTTAAAATCGTGTTTTTCTAGGCGGAAATGTTGTTCTACAGGTAATAATCTTTCATGGGGCTTCGACTTAATTTTTTTATATTTATATATATATATATATATATATATATATATATATATATATATATATATATGTATATCTTTCATGGTGTCGACTTAATATTTTTTATACTAATTTATATATATATATATATATATATATATATATATATATATATATATATATATATATATATAAAGTTGCAAATTAAAAAAACAATAATGTTCTTTTATGAAAGTATTTATTTGTATATATATTTGATATT